AGAATATATGACAAAGTCTATAAATGAAACTTGTAATGTTTCATACAGTTATATCTTGTATGTGAATATTTGATAGGTATCTCAGTATTGGTTAATAAATAGGTAATAAGATATTTAAAGACATGCATGCTATTAATAGCTAAAGATATTGTCTGATCATTATTTGGATGCTTTCAAAGATTCTGACTTTTTTATTGCATTAACCCATTGCTGATGGGAAAATGTAGTGTTCACTGTGGTACTATTTTGTGAATTAGCTCATCATAAAGATGGCTACACAATTTTTTTATTTACATGTACATGTTCAAAGTAGTTGTTACATATTTGAATATATGGAAATAAAATTTACCTTTTCTGATGTGTAATATTGCTTTCTAGGGTTGCCAGTAGTACATTAATTTTTACCTCCTGCTATCACGTAGTCATTGGCATGATATAGAGAAATATATAAAAACCTGCAATGGGAAACTATTATTTTTCCTACCCAGAAATGCTGGAAAAGAAGAATTTATTGTTTACAAATTTAAAGAAAAATATATGGGATATTTGGGTTCATAGAATAGGGCAGGTATTGTCAGTGCGTTATCTTAGGATGAGGATTTATACTATAGTGTATAATACTTAGTTTTCTTTTTTTCCATGTCTGCATCAGCCAAGTTAAAAAAAATGTATATTGATAAAAGCCTGTTTTTTCTTCAGTTGTGACGATGAAAGAAAAGCAGATTTAGCTACTGACATGAGTTGAAGTACAGATGGAGTTGATAATGCAGTGTTTTGTAGAAACTACTGTAGAAGCAAAAGAGATGAGAACTGGAAGAATAATAACTAAAGCAAAGAATATAGTTAGTATTGAAAAATGATTCTTAGATATGAATTGTGATACCTGGAGATATAAAACAATGATTGGTTTGAAAAATGTAGACAAAGGTAGTGCAGCACTGAATTATGGTTAGCAGATAAGATACATGTTTTTGTCAGCAAAAAGTTGGCTGTGTTGTGAAGGTGCTGTTGTGGCGCTGAACACTGTCAAGTAAGAAGTTTATTGCGCAGTTTCCAAGAAGAAACTCCATTTATGGCAAGTAATTAGTGTGACTGTTAGTCATTCTGTTGTGCAGCATTTAAAGATCAGTCAATAGATATTTGAGATAAGTGTTGAAGATATTCAATTTTACTTGTGTAGAAAGCCATAGCTAAATACACTTGGTCAAATATTTTTGCTGTTATTTTTTTCTCTAGTTAAAGACACAGATAGGACAATGTATTTCAAAGTATGAAAGAACTAAGACTTTAATGTAAGTATTTTAAATGAGCCAAAAAGAAAGAAAAGGTATTACTTTCTAGTAGTAATGTGCATCTTTTTTTACACTTTAGGGAAATATGGCAAACATGACTGACATTCCGACGCATTGCAAGAATGAACATCATTTGCTCATATCACAGGCTTGATCATAGCACTAACCTCATCCTCATTTAATTTAGGACCACCCATGACATAGAGAAGGAGGTCAATACTAACCTCAATATACACCTAATAACTACAAGTACTGCATCTCAAACATCCCGGCATTGAAAAACCACACAAATTAACAATTTGAGGGTTCTGACTTAGGCTTTAAATACTGGTATTATGTTTCCGTGTATCCATTAGTTGGTGTTTGAATAGTACTTTTTCTCATAGTAGTGTATCATACATTACTATTTTCGTATTCTTATGTAATGAATGTTTTTTTGAATTATATTATTACTCATGTCATTGTATCTTTACTGTACTATCTTCTACATGATATATACAGTCATCAAGCTTACTCTTATGAATTAACTACTCTCCAACCACCAAAACCTGAAACTAGCCAAATACATATGGAATACCCTATTAGTTAAATAGGCAACTGGCACCTCTATAACCACTAAATAAAATCACTATGCAAGCAAGGCAGTGAGACAACAGTATCTTTCATCTGTAATTTAATATCATATTATTTCTTTAAGGAGAAAGTATTAATCACTTCGCCATTAAGCTTCTGAAGGGAGTAAAGAAGTTAGTTCGTGCCTTAACGAGGTATCATTATGTTTTTGTATTCATATGCATTATTATTTGTTCTTTCTTAAACATCATGTACATCAATCGTCAAGACTGAAATAAACTTCATAAAAGGCCCCGCAAAAGGCCCAACCACCGCATCTCAACCGCCACAAAATCAGACCATTGCATCCACACCTAGGCGGTTCATAGCATAAGAACTTGACTAACTTACAGAATTAAAGCCCCTCTGCTTTGTGGATCGACCATTCACGCCATCTCATTACCCCTGGTGGAGATACTCCATCCATTATACCATACTTAACTTACATAATATGAGTGTAATAAAATCACAATAACAAGTAAGCATCAACTATATCTCATAAATAATTCATAATAATCATAATAATAAATAATTCTTAGTAATAGAGTATAGTAGGTCTATAGTTGATGCTAATTATAAATAAGGTGAGAGGCTTTGAATATAATTATTATAAATAACTATATCATTCCTAAATTTAATTTCTATATTAATATATGTAACGTACTAGAGTGTGATAATAATTTTATTGGCCTTTTATGATTGTACATTTTCCTACTATATCCTAAATAAGTGTAGTGTGTGGCAGTAATTATATTCTTAAATGTATAATCGTATTTTCATCCCATATAATTAACCAACTGTGCAAACCAATAAATATAAAATATTGATTTCATCATTCTCACATTAATATTCTTAATTTTACATTCGATCTTTGATATGATATATAGGTATATATATGTTTCTATACTCGGTTGTCTCTTTTCTTTCTTTTCGCTCTAAGTGTAAGTTTTGGCATTCTATGTATGTTTTTGACCTGTTTCCGTAAACCACTTTTATTTTTCTCTGCGCATCCGAGGCACAATTATTTCCCTATATTTCTTCCTCCACTTTCTACTCTACTCGTTGACAGGTTTAGCAATTCCTGTCTATTTTACTTTGTCTTTGTAGGAGGCACCTCTGATCAGTATTCTCTATCAGAAATATGATAGAAACTTTTCAAGGATATGTGGATAGACTTCAACCAGTTGACTTTGGTGTGTATATATATTATTAAATTAAGATATAGTAACTTCCTTCTGCAACATCTGTACTCAAGCCAAATGATGCGCCCCGCCCCCCATTCGTGTACTCTTCGACAAAGGGATATAACATACTATAAAACAGAATAAACAATTAGACAGCTTCAGTGTTGTGCGTAGCACATTACTGTTATACCTAAAGTAATGTGCGACACTCCACAAGCAGAGAACTCATGCATCAGAGGAAGCACTTCCATGTACAAAATGGAGTTTCCATGTTTCAGCAATCATGTCCAGATGTGACCCACTCTACAAATGAATCATTCGCTCAGGATAAAGCTAAGGCATCTGCGTGAAAAACTATCGTGGATAACTTGGTTAGACGCCTATCGTTTCAGCGATCTGGCGGTTCAAATCTACTAGGGTGTGTGCACTTAGCTAGCGCTCATCACGCTTGTTTTTGGCGCATGCACATGCAGTTTTGTGTTCACGATTTACGATTCCCGGCTTCATAATTTTACGGGTAGCTTTCGAGCAAACATTATAGGGCACACGCTGATAAAACAGCTTTTGTGTATTGTGTTAACTAAAAAATCATCTTATTACTAAAATAAATTTAATATTAATTGAAAGGGTTATCCCTATCATTCTCACTACTTATAATTGGTTGCCATTTTTGTGGGCACACTAAGAAAAGAATACTTTTTTACCAGCGTAATCAAATATATATGAAGAGCCAGTTCTACTTAAAGTAGAGGATATGAAGAATAAACCGTCCGGGCCACGGGATTCGCCCAATAAGTACATGACGCTAACGCCATAACGAGACACATCCGTTAGCCACTAATTGAGCCCTCCGACCCACCACGGCTTCGGACCAAAGGGGGGGGATGGGCGAAAACTGCCACTATGCGCGCCAACAAAGCCGTGCATACGTAAACACTTGACAAAAAAATTTTTACCCGTCGCTGATGGGTTAATTATATTTTTCAGGATGCCTTCTTTCTTGATACCAGATTCATGAGTTCCATGATCTGAACACCAAACTCATTTTGTACATGGAAGTTCTCTGATGCCAGTCCTTGCTGGTTTTAATTTTAGGTAATATTATGTGTGGATACTCTTGAAGACCATTGAATTTTTTTTTTTTTTTTTTTCCTATTTATCAAAAAATGGGGGGGGGGGAACTATATTGGATGAAAATGAAGAATTTCAGAGAAATATCTTATTTTAAAAAAGAAATAAAAAATACAGTTATCTATCCACATATCTAATGCTCATATTCAGAGAAACTTCGGCCTCCTCAGACAGAGAGCTGGACCAGTATCTTGCACCTGTCACCTGTGGGATGGAGGAGATGGACAATTTGCCTCGGGTGCCAAATCAAGGTTTCGGAACAGTCAAAACATCTTGTCCAACTTCTTGCATGAGGAGTCCCTAATGCTTTATTATTATCGTTATGATTATTATTAAGATAATGATGGGATGATGATGATTATTGTTATTATTATTTTTGTTATTGTTTTTTATTATTTTTATTATTGGTATTATTAATTTTAATGTTATTATTTTTTTTTTTATCATTATTATTATTTTTATTATTATCATCATCATCATCATCACAACAATAATAATTATTTTTTTATCATTAGTATTATTAATATTATCATCACTATTATTGTTATTATTATTATTATTATTATTATTATTATTATTATTATTATTATTATTATTATGTATCTAATCATCATCATCACTATTATTGTTATTATTATTATTATGATTATTATGATTATTATGATTATTATTATTGTTATTACTATTATTATTATCATTATTTTTATTAGTATTATAGTAATAGTATATTAGTATTATTATCCCCCACCCTTCCATAAGAAGTGTGTGGTTGGGATTTGTTATGGTATTATTGACAGCAAGTTCTGGTTGCTTATTTTTTTTCTTTTCTACCATCTACAGATACACAATATCAGTTCTGCTGCACCATACTGAGCCAGAATTTCCATACATTAGTGACACAGGGACGTATTCTCCAGAGAGCTGCATTTTTGGCCAGGCTCTGAATATTGGAGCTTTTGCAAGTATGTTCTGCTTTCATGTTAAGCTGAGTATGTAATGTACAATATTAAACATAAGAAAATGAAACTGAAACTTAATGAAAGTGTTCATAATTTTTCCTCCTTAAATGGAAAAGTATAATAAAAACAGAATTTTTTAAATATGAATTATAACAAGAAGATTATTATATGATAAAAGTTTTATTTACATTTTTGGCCATTGAGGAAGGTCACTATATTTTTAGGAAATTTAAAATTCCTCTCATTTTACATAGCTGTCTATTAAGAATGTGCTGTTTTCCAGTGTTGGAATGTAAATGCATTTATAGAAAAAATTAATATAATTACTTGGTAATCCTAAAACTTTCTTTTCTTTATATTTGTACAGTTCTTGTGACCATATATGTCCGATTTCGGCAAATAGCTGAGTTATACCGCAACCATTCTTCGTCATCCAACATTGTGAGACTCAACAGAGTGGGACTTCTGATAGGCTCCCTGGCTGCTCTTGGCATATCCATAGTTGCCAACTTCCAAGAAACAAATGTGTTCTTTGTGCACATTTCAGGAGCCTTGATGGCTTTTGGTCTGGGCACTGGCTATCTCTGGGTGCAGGTAAGACAGACAAGCGATGATTATTGTTTTGAATATATAGAGTGTAAAAGAGAGACAGAGACAGTCTAAGACACAGAAGGACAAGACAAGGCAAGACAAGACATTTGATTATGCATTTCCTAAAAATAAAACAATTGATGATGGTTTATATTTTGGTTTATGTGCATTGAGCAATGAAAATAAGTTGAAGGGAACTGATTTGAGTCTTTATTAATTATTTGTTTAAGCCATTCATATTTGGTTTTAATGAGACTGAAACATTGTTGCTTTTATTAAGTGTGAATGGATCAAACTTATATGAAATGATTTATATGTAGTAGGACTTTTATGAGACCAAATGTTTTTAAGATTTTTTATAGAAACTACAATACAAGAAGAAAAAAAGAAAGAAAAAAAAAACAGAAGGTAACTCACATTTTTAACATTGTGTCATTATCATCTTTCTCTTAGGCAATGTTGTTCCGTACCAGACTCATCACCACTTGTCACAGCCCTTGCTATGGCTCATATGACTGATTTTAGCCCGTTGTGGCTGCAGTGTTCTTTTGTGACCGGGTTGCATCTGTGCCAGTATTGCTCATGCACAGTTCAAAGGTAGGTATTTAGTATGTCAGTTGATTAAGTGTTAGCGATCAGTAAGTTGATTTTTAGATTTTCTATATGTCAGTGTGTTATTAGATGAGTATTGGACGTGTCAATATATACTTTTTTGGATTTAGATAGCAGGATGGTTGATTTATGTACTGGAAAGGGCTGTGTATATATTCGTCAGAGTTAAAGTAAATTGACAGGTGCAAGACCGAGGTTAATTTGAACATTAGATATAGGTAAGTAAATATATTGAAAAAATATTAACGAAAACTAGTGGGTCGAGGCAATTAGATATGTATTGAATTATATACTTTCTTCAGTCGTATTCTTTATCTGCATTTGTGCATCATTATTATCAGGTAGATCGCATCCCCACACAACTGTGGTTTTCCCTAAAGAAAATGGAAGGATGGGCATTCCATGTTGCAAGTACAGTCTCAGAGTGGGTTTGTTGCAGGATGGATTGCCATTTAACATTTTCATGCTGACGCTAGTGGATGAGCTTTTTAAAGAATGCATAACTTTCCATGGAATCCCTCCAATATGTAAGATATATCTGTTGTTTCACTCGTACATCTGAATTGATCACATTTTTGTTAGAGTCTATGATTCCAGTGTGGCTTTGAGTTGCCAAGTGAGCATTGGCTGTTACTCTAATGGCTATTACCGGATTTAGTCAGTGATGAAGACTTTCATTAAGAGCCTGGTGTATTCTATTTTTCTTATGTAAGACAAATAGATTTTCTTGTTATTCAAGCAGTTGAGTTCTTTACATTTAATTTCTACTATTACAACTAAGATATAATTTTGTTTTAGATAGCCAACAAAATACATTAACGTTATTCCGGCTATGCTTCAAAAAAGACGGTGTGCAGCCTGTGATCAAAATTATTGGATAGATCAAAGGCATCTTGATCCAACGTTTTCACATTGGCTTATGACACCCGACTTAATGTTTTATTAATATTTCGGGGTCTATATGAGGACACTCATAAATGGGTTACTTAGTTGGTCATCGTGCCTTGGAAATTTCTCTTGGTTTATTTCTAATCATTATTTCTGTTTTCTATTTCTTTGTGTTCGGTGTACTCAGAATGTTTGGGACACCCCCGTACGCTTCAGTGAGGGCTTAAGTGCTACGTAAATTCATATATCTAACTTTCAACGTAGTCGATTGTAGGGAAATATACGTGCTAACTTATGAGTTATCAGAAATTAAAACTGTGAATATATGTGTGTATATATATATTATTGATAGATAATATTACTAGATATACAATAGACCTACATAATACCTTTTACAAATATTTGAAAAAATATTAAAGTACGCAGCGCATAATAGAACAGGTATCTATATCTATTTTCTTCCCAATGGCATTGACAAAAGGGATAGAAATCTCCTGCTTTTTCTGTAAATAATTATCAGTAATGAGAGAGGTATCTAAAGGCAATCAATTACACATGTCTATTAAAAATAAAATAAAAAAAAATGAAATGTGCTGTTCTATGATGTAACGATTGTTTATTAGCAGCTTTTCATTTTAATTTGATTTCCCAATATATATAAACTTATATTTATTATATAATATATATATATATAATATACCATAAGATTCTATTTATATAATTATAATCATAATATATATATATATTATATACTATGTACTATATTTAATATATATATTTATATTATATAGTTACATTATAAAGTATATATATATATATTCTAATTATATATATATTATATGACATTTATATTTATTTTGAATATATTATATATAATCTTATACTTCATATATATATTATATATTCCTATATATTATATATATTATATCCATTAACTATTATAATAATAATATATTATATCACCTACAATTATTATTTAATATTTATAATACGTATTCACCTATACCCCAGGATAGGTACTACTCATAATTATATTTTATATGTGTGTATATATATGTGTATGTAGTAGTTGTTGTATATATTATATATATATAACTGGAATACTATTATATTTACCACTAAACTGACTATTACTCATAGTATAAAAATTATATATTACTTTTTAGGGTCTATGCGGAATATACTAGGTATGGAATGGTACCTAATTATAACTTTCATTTATCTAATCACACATATATATACACGCGAGTATATCACACCTTAATATAAACTCACTATAACTGAGGTGAGTAAGCGGGCTCTCCTATATACATATGAGTATTAAATATATACTGATATACAATATATCTAGTAATGACTACACGTTTCCTAGTTATATCGTCACTAATAGCTGTATAAAAACTACTCATATTTATGAGTATATTATTCAGCGTACTGATATACTAATAGTAGACTTGAGATAGGGTGAGAATATATATACAGGCATCATTATTATATATCTATAGTAGTATATATAGCACATATAGTACGAGCGTAATATACGCTAAACGATATATTGCATTTATATACTAGTCAAGCCATACTTAGGTATAGTATTAGGGTTACGGTGAATGGGCTATATCTAGGTACATATAACTATGAGATATTATAGTATGGATATATTTTCAGTGTGACATGATGATTATACATTTCAATTCATATATATTATCTAATATTTACCTTGGGCCACTACTTAGTCTTTACTAATATTCTATTATTACTTTTATATTGTGTTCAGCTGAGTTTACTTAATAACATAATTAGTGACTTATTTCAATTGTTATATTATATTCTTTTACTATATTGTATGTACATAATATCAGTTATCTTTATTCCTATTTTCATATTAGCTATATTTCTATATATATATATTTCTATTCTTATCCCTTTACGCTTTGTGAGTATCTTTTATAGCTACGCCTGTGTTTATTTATAACCTCTTATCAATATAGTCTATCTATCATCTACGTATTATTACTACTATCATCATCATAAGTATATCTTATGATTTTTGATTTTATTATTTATACCTACTTATAGTTATATATGTGCTTATACTATTATTTGAGTGACTAAGTACTCCTATATTTTAGTCTATTAGTTGTTTATCATTTCATATATTTCGTTTATATATTATATATTCTATTTATTTATATATATTTCTGTTATTTAATATTATATTTATATATGTTTTTGAAGTGTTATATCTTATATTTACTGATACTTGCATAACTTAAGTTTTTTCATTAGTAATTTCATAGTAATCAGAATATCCCCTATATTTCCTTCCATAATATAGTAATGTAATATAGTAGACTAATATACTCATTATTATCAGTATCCTACATTCATTCCTACCCTAACTTATTATTAGTAAATACCTTATTAATTTCTTAATTATATACTATTATTTACTCATTTTTATTTACTTACTATCAATTAATATTAAATAATATAGTATCATCGATTATATATATATATATAAGTTACGATAGTATTATATATATATCACTCGACTCATTGTGAGTGATCTATAATTCTTCCATTATAGTTATCTCTGTAAATATACTGTATAAATTATGATACTAGTATACTCGCTATTGATCGATGTTACTTCAAGTGTATAATTTTAAGTATATATTATTATATTTAAGTTATTCCTATGTATATATGTTATCTAACCTACTGTAGATATATTCATAGCTGTACCTTACTATATATATCAGATTTATTTATATATCTATGACGGTGCATGTTTACTAGTAGTTCCCTTTTATCTATTATATTTCGGTATCTTATATATATTTTATGAGAGGTAACTGTATAGATGATATCACCTATATATCTTACCTTATGATATTCTTAGCGTCATATTAGTATCCAGTAGTGACGCATGTAACTAGCAGGTACTGATAACACTAGTGTAGTGGTAATTACTTGTTATATAATATAACTGTATAACATTGTATAATAATATTTTACTATATTATTAGATAGTATACCATACTAAGACTAATATTATATATTGTTTGTATGATTGTATAGATTCATATTGATATTACCATACTTGTCCTATCCTATACTATAACTTTATATATAGATTAGTCTTATAATAATATTGACTATGATTACTAATATGATTAAAAATATAATATGTTATTAATATTAATCAGTTATAAGATGTAGCTATTTCAAAATTAGTCACTTTACTACGTTATTACTTCATCTCATTATACTATTATACTTATATATTTATTATTCTATACTATCTCTCATATTGTGTGTGGTAATCATTTCAAATAAGCTGCATACATTTACTTATTCTTCACTTTCATTTCAAGCAGAATCTTTTTTTTTTTTTTTATGAATTGCACGTCTAGAAAAGATGAATATAGAATTTAGTATTGAGTAATTGATTTCACTTGTGTAGGAAATGGTATTTGGTTAATTAAAGGTAGAAAAGGAACTAATTGCATCTTTATATATCTTCTCTCTACGGTTCTACTGTGATCACTTCGTCGATCAACCTTAACTGGCACCTATCACAC